ACGACGACAAAGACGACGACGACGGCGTCGCCAACGAAGACGACGACGACAACGAGGGAGGAGAAAGCACGACGACGGCGACAACGACGACAACGACGAGGGAGGAGGGAGAACGGCGACGACGCGAACGACGAAGGAGGACGGCGACGCCGACGACAACGACGAGAAAGGTGGGAAGACGACGACGACGACGACGACGACGACGACGACGGCGACGAAATAGGAGGGACGACGACGACAACGCCGACGACGGATGACGACGACGACGAGGGAGGAGGGAGGACGACGACTGCAGCAACGACGACGGCGACGACGACGACGCCAAAGAGGACGACGACGACGAGGAAATACTCAGGACGACGACGGCGACGACGATGACGACGACGAGGGAGGAGGGAGGACGACGACGACGCAAGAGCGCGCGCGCACGCTTTTGTTGAAAATCCGTGTTGCGAAACCCTATGCTTGTGTATGTTTTTTGGGCACTCGATTTTGAAATCCTTCCGAAACCGAAGGTGTTTGAAGGATTCCAGCATGCGCGCGCGACGACGTGCGCGTGTGCACGTCGTCAATTTTTTGCAAGGGATTATTGAAAACTTATGGTTTTGATACACGAGAATGCGCGCATCGTATTTTTTGCAAAGGATGGCGGGGGGGGCGATACCGGCCTGGCTGGGTTGGTTTGAATTCATATTTAGGGTGGACGATGGGGCAGAATCATATGTAAATTGCTATACGAAAAAGGGGACCGTTAATTCCGGGGGGGGGGTAGAGTCGATTCTTCGTTAAGAAAGGGGAATCCAGGGCGGCGACGATGCGGCCGCGGGGCGGCGACAGCGGCCACATAGCCGCCAGACCGAAGACACGGCCCAGACGACGGGCGGCGACGAGGCTGCGACGGGACGGCGACGGCGGCCACACAGCTGCCAGACCGAAGACACGGCCCAGTTCCTTAGAACACAAGTAAGACGCCCTAAGTGCAAGCACTGCTTGGGGAAGACGAAGTGCCTTCCGAAATTCGGCTCTCGTCCAACGGCGCGCACATCCGTCTGAAAAGCATGCACGAGATGGAACTGGATATCTCAGAAACGCGGCAATCCCTCCAGCGTTGCGCACATTCGTCCTCAACGTTTGCAGCAAGTGCCACGATGGAAGACTGGTGGCTTTCATGCCGTGGCTCTCGCACTAGCTCCGCGCACACTCGCCTCAAAAAGCCTTCTACAAAATGCTAGCCAGTGTGTACCCCAAGCAATGCGCTTATACCAATATACGTTCAAATTATGTGTTGCAACATATGTTATGCAAGTTATGTGGTGACGTCTTTGTGGTGCAAGATATACACATATATATTTACACACATACACATACGATGCGGTGCAATATACGTTGCGCAACATATGCGGTGCAGTATATGTTGTGCAATGTAGGGCGGCGACAGGGCGGCGACGAGACGGCGACGGCGAGCACATAGCCGCCTGACCGCCAGCCAGGCCCAGACGACGGGCGACGAAGAGGCGGCGACGAGGCGGCGACGGGGCGGCGACGGGGCGGCAACGGCGAGCACATAGCCGCCAGGACAGCCAGCCAGGCCCAGTTCTTTCGAAGAGGAGCACGAGCTCCAAAAGTGCAAGCACAGGCAGAACGCACATCGTTTTCAAAACCTAGCTATTGGTTGACACTTCCTTGGCCCTCGTCGGGGCAAACCCCTTTACAAACCAGGAAGGCCACAGGGGGCGCTCGTCGTTCCAGGGCGGCGCTTCTCCCGAAGCAGAGAGGCATACCTGCAGGGACGTGTGAGGAATGCGTGTGCGTGCGTGCGTGCGTGTGTGTGTGTGTGTGTGTGCACCCTCCGTGATGCATCCTGGACGTTCCCTGGTCCTCACCATCCTGTTCCATCTCCTCCTCCTCCAATTCGGGTGTTGCTGGAAGTGCCCCTGGCCCAAGGTGCCCCCAGGATTCCCGGGGTGGCCCAGACGGCCTCCAGAGCACCCCTAACGAGGCCCAGAGGGCCCCAGGGGCCCAAAAATGGCGAAAGCTGGGGTTACCTTGGGCCAGGGGCACTTCTAGCAACACCGGACCAACTGTCTGTATGAGTAACATCCCCTCCCACCGGTCGCACCACCAGACGAATCATCAGGCTCGGTTGGGCGTTTCGATTGAGGCGTCCGTACGAACTGCGATCATGAAAACAAAAACCCGACAGGTATCAGCACAGAGGGCCACCTGTTTCCAGAATGCAGACTGTCACCCAAGCGCCGCGAACACCCGTCTGAAACACTGCCGACAGTCGCAAGGATGGACGGAGCATGAGGGACCGTGGTTGTCAAATGCGGTTACGCCGCGAACATTGGTTTTCAAATTTCCACCTGCTAGAAGGATGCAGGCCGGCTTGCTGTAAAGATGCGGTGTTGGCATCAGCGCGAAACACACTCGTCTTGAACGCTTCCACCAGGTCCAAAGGTGGAGTCCCATTCGATGTCAATTCCAGTGAGACTTCATCGAACGCTATAACCCAAAGTTCCAAAATGCTGAGCCATTCCACGCATGGAGGACAAGTACTTTTCAACACTGTGTTCTCGCCTGGGACTTCTGCAAGTTCTACGACTAGGGCTTTGACACTGCGCAACACTTCTATGGATGGACGGCAAACTTCTTCAAAACGGGAATATCGATGGACACTTCATTCGAGGCCTCCTAAATGGAGTCCGAGTAGATGGGGTCGGAGGATCTCGCCGCATCGCCGATACATCGGCGATGCATCGCCGACGCATCGGCCATGCACTGGCGACAACGGCGATACATCCGCGACGTCGGCATGGAGAAACTCGGGGCCCCACATCGGGCCGCATTGCCCATGCATCGCCCTGGCCATCGCTCGGACGTTTATTCCCTGTGTTTTTTGTCGGTTTCGTGCGTGGTTTGTTCGCCAAATGATCAAGGATGTTCCTCGATTGTCCTCGCCGAAGGAAAAATGCACGCGTCCGAGCGATGCCAAGCGCCGATGAATCGGCGATGCGGCGAGATCCTGCGACCCCATCTACTCGGACCCCATCTACGAAGCCTAGACTCTCGAACGGTCTCGTCCTGCCCCATCTGCGCAAGCATGGATCGGGGGGGGGGCCCTCCCGCAAGATGCGGCCGGCGACGCCTCGCTCGGCGGCGGCAAGCAACGACGTCCTATGGAAACGGGACCCGTCGCTAATCCACGCCCCCCCATTAATCCATGTTCGAGATCGCCTGATGCTTGTCACCTTCCTCATCCTACTCATGTTCCTCCTCCTCTTTTTCCGTCTCTCCTTTTGATCATTATCGTCCTCCTCTTCCCTCGTCCTTCCGTCCTCACGCCTTCCTCCGCCATCGCGTTTTCATATAGATGATTCCTCCCCGTCGCACCCAGTATCGCGTCGGTACAGCGGGCCGGGCGTTTCGCCTCAGACCCCGAAACTTGAAATCCGCAAGACCTGCAAAAATGGAGCACAAGTGATTGTCAAAATCGGGCTCTCGCCTTTGCACCGCGCACATCCGTCTTAAAAGTTGCAAGAGCTACACGGATGGAGGGTTGTTCATTTTCACCATTGGGTTCCCACTTCAGCACAACACACGTTGGTCTCAAAATGCTGCAAATGAAATCTTCTCCAAAGTGTAGTTTTCGATTTTCTGCTGCTCAACATCGCTTTCACAAAGGATGGAGGGTGGCTCCTTTTCCAACAGGGGTTCTGGCTGTAGCTCCGCGCACACTCGTCTTCAAATCTCCCAACAGCGGCGAGGGTGGACAACGGTTTCGTGTCAATGTGATATTTTGCCCTGAGACGACCTGAAAGTGTCAAACCAAAAGCTTCCATATGTTCACCAACTGCACGGATGGAGAGTAGATCCTTTTCAGAATGGCGCTCTCGCTGGAGCCATCCTAGATGTTCATGGCCGCACGCATCAACTTGTGCAACAATCCCAAGGGTTTGGGGGGCAACCCTTTTTCACAGGGCTCTCGCGTGAATGGCAGGCCCATTGGTGCTGGGTTTTCAAGGGGAAAGTGATCGTCCCTCTCAGAGCGGACACCCTTCAAGATGGAATTCTCCAGAGCCTTCACACGAGTAGCGTTCGGTCGGCACCGATGGGCGAGAAGAGAGGAGCCGACCAGGCTCTCAAGCTCGCGACTCGTTGTGACACCGTCCCTAGCAGTTAAAAGACAGGCTTGAAGAGACTGACGAGGGGACTTCAAACGGGAGGGTACATTGCAGAATCGAGGATGCAGCTTGCTTCTATGCTAGTCCTCCCCCGTTATCCTCTTCTTCCTACTCCTGCATCCCTCCTCGCGTCTCATCCTCCTCCTCCTTCTCCTCCTCCTCGCTACTTGTCCTCCTCCTCCTCCTCATCCTCCTCCTCCTCCTCCTCCTCTTCCTCCCTCCTCCCTCCTCCCTCGTGCTTCCCAAGGGCGCCTGACTTCACGCTTCGCGCTGCGCGAATCGCGAATAACTTCGCGCTCTCTCGCCACTCCCATAAGGGAGAAGAGGAAGATTAGAAGGCATCGGAACCAAACCTCGAAGCGCGAAGCGCGAATAATTTCGCGCCCTCGAGGGCGCCCTTGCTTTCGTTCATGAAACGCGCACAGAAGCTCTCGACACCACCCCTAGGACCGGCTTCTCGTCGCAAGGCCGCATTCTCACGGCACCGGCGCCCGGGAACAGCCAATGGGGGCCCGAATGGAGACATCGCGGGGCCTGGAGGACGAGGACGAGGAGGGGTAGGAGACGACGGCGACGACGACGACGACGACTTCCACCACGATAACGACCACGACGTCGACGACGACGACGACGACGACGACGACGACGACGACGACGACACCGACAACCACCACCACCACCACGTCCACGACGTCCACGACGACAACCACGATGACATCGACAGCCAGGACGACAACCACGACCACCGTGACCACCACGAGGACCACAACAACTACCACGACCACGACGGTCGCCGCCGACGCGATCGTGAGCAGCGTCCTCGCGGCGACTGCCGCCGCTGGCTGCGTCTGAGTGAGGCCGCCAGCCATGTCCTGGGCGCGGCGGAAGGGCCGACAAGAGGCCCCGAAGAAGAGAAGGGGAGGAGGAGGAGGAGGAGGAGGAGGAGGAGGAGGAGGAGGAGGAGGAGGAGGAGGAGAGGAGGAGGAGGGAGGGAGGAGGAGGGAGGGAGGGAGGGAGGGAGGAGGGAGGAGGAGGAGGAGAAGGAGGAGGAGGAGGAGGAGGAGGAGGGGGAGGGGGGGGACGTGGGGAGGAGCGAGGAGGAAGGAGCAGGGCGGAGGGGACGGGGAGTAGGGTCCTCCTCCTCCTCCTCCTTTTCCTCCTCCTCCTCCTCCTCCTCCTCCCTCCTCCTCCTCCTCCTCCTCTTCCTCCGCCTCCGCATCCCCCTCCCCCTCCCATCTCGGGGCCGCCACGGGCACGCGGAGAGCGCGCCCAAGGCGGCAACGCGCGCCCGCCAGGGCCTCGGGATGTCGCCCGCTGGGAGCGCGCGGTCTGCCCGGTCGCGCGCGGGGGGGAGGGGTAACCTGGCTCGGGCCCGCGCTGCGCCCGCGGTATGCGATCGCCCACCGAGGGAGTCAGAGGAGGAGGAGGAGGAGGAGGAGGAGGAGGAGGAGGGGGAGGAGGAGGAGGAGGGGGAGGAGGGGGAGGAGGAGGAGGAAGGGAGGAGGAAACGCCCTCCTCTTCCTCTTCTTTAAATTAATACCCATCTTACCATGAACATTATTACTGCGATTAGTACCTTTTATTCCTCCTCCTACTCCCACTCATCCTGCTCATCCTCCCTCTTCTCGTCATCATCAGCAGCAGCGGCAGAAGCAGCATCATCATCCTCATCTTCGTCAACATCATCATCATCATCATCAGCAGCAGCATCATCAGCAGCGTCATCATCATCAGCCGCAGCATCATCAGCATCAGCATCAGCATCAGCATCATCATCAACAACAACATCAGCATCATCATATTCATCGTCATCGTCATCATCATCACCACCACCACCATCGCCACTACCATCATGACCATCACCATCATCATTATGATTCCCCTCCACTGCGAGACCATCCCCTTGTCTTGCTCCGTATGCTCGTTTGGTCTCCTAGTCATCCTCATCATCCACCTAATCGCTCACCTCATCGTTCACCTCATTATCAGCAGCAGCATCAGCAGCAGTAGCAGCAGCAGCATTATCATCGTCGTCGTCGTCGTAATCATCATCATCATCATCATCATCATCATCATCATCATCATCATCATCATCATCATCAGCATCAGCATCATCATCATCATCATCATCACAACCACCACCACCACCATCATCATCAGCATCGGCATCAGCATCAGCATCAGCATCATCATCACCATCACCAGCATCACCATCATCATCAGCAGCATCATCATCGCCATCGCCGTCAACATCCTGGATTGTAGCCGCCGCTTCCAGCTCATTCTCTTCCTCATCACGACCATCAGGTTGTTGCCTCTACTCCTCCACCCTCCTCCTCCTCCTCCTCCTCCATCCTCTCCTACGTCCGTGTCCCTCATACATGCGCGTATTCATCCTACTACTCCTCCTACTCCTCCTCCTCCCCCGTGACCATTAGGTTCCAGCCAGTTCGGCATGAGAGCCAAGCCGCGGCCCTTCTCTTGTGGAGAGCGAGCCCTGGCGTCGCTTGCCGATGTACTTGGAGAAGTTGGTCGTCTGCCGGTCCGGCGCTCCGTGCAGGAGTGGCTCGTGAAGGCGATGTGCGCGGCAGCTGCTGCTGCTGCTGCTGCTGCTGTTGCTGATGGCTGCTGCTGCTGCTGCTGCTGCTGCTGCTTGCTGCTGCTGCTTGCTGCTTGCTGCTTGCTGCTTGCTGCTTGCTGCTGCTGCTTGCTGCTGGTGCTGCTGCTGCTGCTGCTGCTGCTGCTGCTGCTGCTCGTGGCCCTCCGCACAGCAACGCCCGCAGTGCGGAGGAGAAGAAGATCGACGTGCTGCTGCTCAATGAGAAGCTCATGCGTGGGGAAAGGGCGACATCGGGGCTCATGAGGGCGTACGCGACGAGGGCCGATAAGCACTTGAATGCACGGCGCTACGCGGCTGACCCAGAGGACGAGGATTTCGTCATCGACGTGTGCGTAGCCTTGAAGGACGCCGTCGCCACCAACGAGGCCACCTCCAACAGCGACATGATGCCGGGAGGCAAGGGCTTCGAGGACTCCCTGAACGCCAACCTGGACAAGGTAAACGAGAATGACAACACAGACGAGGGGACGCCCTAAGAGGAGAAGCTCATCGGCATCTGTAAGACTGATCTGCACAACTCTCCCGTCATGGAGGAAAGGATGATGTCCCTCAAGGGTGAGCTCCTCAACAAGACCGATAAATTCGAGGAGTGCTTGAGCCAAAAGTGAAAGCTGATCGAAAGCGAATGGACGCCGTGCAGTCCACGCTGGTGGAGAATATGTATCTGGTGAGGACCGTGCAGGGTGACCTTGGCAGCGTGAAGGCCAAGACGCAGGAGCAGGAGCAGCCGAACCTCGCGGCATCGATGCAGCGGCAACGCCTAGTTGATCGTGCAGCGTATGGATGCACGGCAGTCCGACGTGCATAATCAAAGCGATGGCGTGCTGAACTCGCACGGGAAGCTGGACTTGCAGTGCGAGGCACTGAAGGACCTGGAGCAGACCGTCGAGGGGATCAGGAAGGCTTGAAGTCCACCATCGTCGAGATCGACCGCCTGCGGAAGGGCGTGGTTGACCTCATGATGAAGGTCTACGGCTAAAGGATGGTGATGCTCTGAATGCGCCTCCTCCTCCTCCTCCTCCTCCTCCTCCACCTCCTCCAACATCGGGCCGCGCTCGAGGCGGGCTGCGAGGACTGCTCCTCCTCCTCCTCCTCCTCATCCTCCTCCTCCTCCTCGTCCTCCTCCTCCTCTTCCTCCTTCTCTTCCTCCTCCACCTCCTCGAGCATCGGCCGCGCTGCACGAGGCGGGCTGCGAGGACTGCTGCTGGGACGGCATGGCCCGGTAGGAAGCACAGGTTGGCGCGGGTATGCCTGTGGGTTCTGCCTCTCCCTTCTGGCCCCCTCCGGCCCATTGAATCCAGCTGGGGTTTGGGAGTGCCTTGGATGAGCCCCGTGGCACGCCCATGCTGGCTTCTCCTCCTCCTCCTCCTCCTCCTCCTCCCTCCTCCTCCTCCTCCTCTTCCTCATCCTTGTCCTCCTCATCCTCGTCCTCCGCCTCCTCCTCTCCTCCTCCTCCTCCTCCTCCTTCACCTCCTCCTCTCTCCTCATCCTCCTCCCTCGTCACTCGTCCTCCTCCTCCTCCTCCTCCTCCTCTTCCTCCTCCTCCTCCTCCTCCTCCTCCTCCTCCTCCTCCTCCTCCTCCTCCTCCCCCTCCTCTCTCCTCATCCTCCTCCTCTTCCTCCTGCTCGCCCTCCTCCTCCACCTTCTTCCTCTCCTCCTCCTCCTTATCGTCATCATCATGATCATCCTCATCCTCATCACCATCATCATCATCATCATCATCATCATCATCATCATCATCATCATCATAATCATCATCATCATCATCAGCAGCAGCAGCATCAGCAACAGCATCAGCGACAGCATCAGCATCATCAGCATCATCATCATAATCAGCAGCATGATCAATAGCATCAGCATCATCATCACCACCATCATCATCATCGTCATCATCTTCACCATCATCCTCATCAGCAGCAGCATCACCACCATCATCACCACCATTATAATAATCGTCATCATGAGAATCAGTATCAACATCATCGTCAACAGCATCATGTTCATCATCACCATCATCCTAATCAGCATCATCATCACCATCATCCTAATCAGCATCATCGGCATCATCAGCATCATCATTAGCATAATCAGCATCATCAGCATCGTCACCAACAGCAGCAACAGCATCCGCATCAGCAGATCATCAACATCATCATTCACCTCTGTATCAGCATCGTCAACACCTTCAAGACCATCAGTATTACCATCACCATCATCACCAGCATCAGCAGCAGCAACCGCAGCAGCAGCAGCAGCATTAGCATCAGCAGCAGCATCAGCAGCAACATCAGCATCATAATCAGCAGCATCCTTACCATCATCATCAACATCATCATCATCAGCATCATCATCATCAGTAGCATCATCATCATCATCATCATCATCATCATCATCATCATCATCATCATCGTCAGCAGCATCATCATAGCCACCATCATCATACCATCATCAGCAGCAGCACAAGCAGCAACAACAGCATCATCGGCGCCAACGTCGTCATCGTTGGCGTTGTCGCGGAAGTCGTCGATTCATCATCGTCGTCGTGGTTGTCGTCGTCACCAGTATCATCATCGTAGCATCAGCATCCTAAGCGTGTTCATCATCAGCATCGGCATCAGGATCAGCATCAGCATCAGCACTGGCACCATCATCACCATCACCAGCATCATCATCACCGTCATCATCATTCGAAGTCCGCTCCCCCAATTCGTCCACCTCCTCTTTCTCTTCCTCCTCCTATTCCTCATCATCATCATCATCATCATCGTCATCATCATCATCATCATCACCATAACCATCATCATCATCATCATCATCATCATCATCATCATCATCATCATCATCATCGTCATCATCACCGTCTTCATAATCATCATCCTCGTCTTCCTCGCCCTTCTCTTCCTCATCCTCGTCCTCCTCATCCTCCTCCACAACATTCCCCTCCCCCATCCTCCTCTTGCTCCTTCTGCTCCTCGTCCTCCTCCTTCTCCACCTCCTTCTACGTATCCTCCTCAATGCCCCTCCTCTCTACAATGACACTATCTGGCTATGACCTTCTTGTCTCCCCGAAAACTGCCTGGGAATCGGCCACCACATCTGCGTATAGTATCTTACACCCACGAACTCATTATCTCGTGTTTCAGATGGTGCATGTTCCACTCGGAACTGGTTCGGTGTCTCACAAGGGTGCTCCCGCTGCAGCGGTGACCTCAATTTGGGATCGGCGATTTGCTCCCGTCGTCCGGAATG